TTCTAAGATGAGATATTATGTACCTCGCCCTGCCCTGGTGACTATTACTCCCTTATCTATCCTTATCTCAACTATGGTATTTGTGCCTGGGGCTCTACTACCCAAAATCATTTACGTCCTCTAATTACTCAACACAAAGCTGCTATTAGGACAATATCCAACTCTGGCCCCAGACATCACTCGGTACCCCTACTCAAATCTCTGAATATGTTAGACATTAAGTCACTGCACATTCTCTCATGTGTATTATATAAAACTCTGAACTGTAATGCCAATCCTGACCTTAAAAGCTTCATAGAAGGTTGTAACAGATCCCATGAGCACCACACCAGAAATAAATACAGTTTTGATATTCCTAGAGTGCGACTTAACCAAACTAGAAATGCTCAACAAATCAAGGGACCCGAAATGTGGAATGACCTTCCCAATCATGCCAAAGACTGTATGCTGGTCGAATCGACTTGAGAATGGTCCAGGACGGACCGGAATGTGGTCGTCGTCCCTTCACCTTCTAGTGTGTGGTCTGGTCCACAAAGGCTCTACCTTTCTCAACCAGTTTAAGAGTAGAATTAAGCACTACCTAATTAACTCCATGTAACCTACCTCATCCCTAAATGTCAACCCATGTCTTACTATTTTTTTAAACAATGCTGTTTGTAACTCAATGGCTGTACCTTAACCTCAATAGAGCATCTGAATCTGAAATAAATAAATAAATAAATATATTACAGTATAGTTACCCCTTTTAGTTTTCTATGATGATCGATAAAGATTTAAAAGAAAACGGATCTCCTTTAATATTAAGGGGTAGCTTTGACATTTTTCCTTAATATTATTTTTGGTATTAAAGTCGTTAATAATAATAATATCATTAAGACAGGAAGCTGGCGGCTTGTCGAAGGCCACCTCCCTCCCCCATTTTCTTTGATAATCATTTCCAGTTTGATTTTGAAATGAAAAAGATTATCAAGTCCAATGGGAGGGGGACATTGGACAAGCCGCAGGCTTCTAGTCCTCGTTTGAAGCCCTCCGGAAGTACAGTTCGTAAGTGCTTGCGTACCAGCTTCGTGAATCTGGCCCCGGGTGCGTAAGTGCTTGCGTAACCGCTTCGTCAATCTGGCCCCAGGTGCGTAAGTGCTTGCGTAACTACTTCGTGAATCTGGCCCCAGGTGCGTAAGTGCCTGCGGAACAGATTCGTGAATCTGGCCCCAGGTGCGTAAGTGCTTGCGTAACTCCTTCGTGAATCTGGCCCCAGGTGCGTAAGTGCTTGCGTAACAGCTTCGTGAATCTGACCCCAGGTGCGTAAGTGCCTGCGTAACTGCTTCGTGAATCTGGCCCCGGGTGCGTAAGTGCTTGCGTAACTGCTTTGTGAATCTGGCCCCGGGTGTGTCAGTGCTTGCGTAACTGCTTCATGAATCTGGCCCCGGGTGCGTATAGGTGCTTGCGTAACTGCTTCATGAATCTGGCCCCGGGTGCGTATAGGTGCTTGCGTAACTATTTCGTGAATCTGGCTCCAGGTTCGCAAGTGCTTGCGTAACAGCTTCGTGAATCTGGCCCCAGGTGCGTCAGTGCTTGCGTAACAGCTTCGTGAATCTGGCCCCGGGTGCGTCAGTGCTTGCGTAACTACTTCGTGAATCTGGCTCCAGGTTCGCAAGTGCTTGCGTAACTGCTTCGTGAATCTGGCCCCAGGTGCGTAAGTGCTTGCGTAACAGCTTCGTGAATCTGGCCCCAGGTGCGTAAGTGCCTGCGTAACAGCTTCGTGAATCTGGCCCCAGGTACGTAAGTGCTTGCGTAACTCCTTCGTGAATCTGGCCCCGGGTGCGTAAGTGCTTGCGTAACTGCTTCGTGAATCTGGCCCCAGGTGCGTAAGTGCTTGCGTAACAGCTTCGTGAATCTGGCCCCAGGTACGTAAGTGCCTGCGTAACAGCTTCGTGAATCTGGCCCCAGGTACGTAAGTGCTTGCGTAACTCCTTCGTGAATCTGGCCCCAGGTGCGTAAGTGCTTGCGTAACAGCTTCGTGAATCTGGCCCCGGGTGCGTCAGTGCTTGCGTAACTACTTCGTGAATCTGGCCCCGGGTGCGTCAGTGCTTGCGTAACTACTTCGTGAATCTGGCTCCAGGTTCGCAAGTGCTTGCGTAACTGCTTCGTGAATCTGGCCCCGGGTGCGTAAGTGCTTGCGTAACTGCTTCGTGAATCTGGCCCCTGGTGCGTCAGTGCTTGCGTAACTACTTCATGAATCTGGCCCCTGGTGCGTAAGTGCTTGCGTAACTGCTTCGTGAATCTGGCCCCAGGTGCGTATAGGTGCTTGCGTAACTGCTTCGTGAATCTGGCTCCAGGTTCGCAAGTGCTTGCGTAACTGCTTCGTGAATCTGGCCCCAGGTGCGTAAGTGCTTGCGTAACAGCTTCGTGAATCTGGCCCAGGTGCGCAAGTGCCTGCGTAACAGCTTCGTGAATCTGGCCCCAGGTACGTAAGTGCTTGCGTAACTCCTTCGTGAATCTGGCCCCTGGTGCGTAAGTGCTTGCGTAACAGCTTCGTGAATCTGGCCCCGGGTGCGTCAGTGCCTGCGTAACTACTTCGTGAATCTGGCTCCAGGTTCGCAAGTGCTTAATTGTCCTGAATAAACCCACAAAGGGGCCGTGAAGAGGGCTCGAACCTGCGCACGGGAGGTTCCCCAATGCACCTTAGTCAACTGTACCACGACATAGTCAAAAGAATTGCAACCTGAAATGCTATACTACCCTCACCAGGATCCACAGCTGAGTGGACAGCGTTTCGGATTCGTAGTCTTGGGATTCGGGGGATCGATCCCCGGCTAAGGCGGAAACAAATGGGTTTCTTTCAGCCTGGTGCCCCTGTTCACCTAGCAGCAGTCAATAGGTGCTTGGGAGTTAGACAGTTGCCACGGGCTGCTGCTGCTGCTTCCTGGGGGTGGAGGCCTGGTCGAGGACCGGGCCGCGGGGACGCTGAGCCCCGAAATCATCCCAAGATAACCCCAAGATAACTTCAAGATAACCTCATGATAATCCCAAGATAACCCCCGATAACCGCAAGATAACCCCAAGATAACTTAAGATCACCCCAAGATAACCTCATGATAACAGCAAGATAACCCCAAGTTAACCTCAAGATAACTGCAAGATAACCTCAAGATAGCCCCAAGATAATCTCAAGATAACCCCAAGATAACTGCAAGATAACCCCGAGAAAACTGAAAGATAACCTCAAGATAACACCAAGATAACCGCAAGATAGCCTCAAGGTAACCCCAAGATAACTTCAAAATAACCCCAAGATAACCCCTGATAACCGCAAGATAACCTCAAGATAATACCAAGATAACCCCAAGATAACCACACGATAACCCCAAGATAACCACAAGGACATTGTGTGGAAGGATAGCAAATGGAAAATATATAGCTCAGATAATCCACTCTTTCCCTCGATGTCAAAAGTTAGTTTGGTTATCTCCAAAGATATCTTTTGTTGGTCTTTCATTAGGTCTTGGAGAGTAACTTGGAGTGCCTTGAGTATCTTAATTACTTGCTACCATCTTCCTTTGTTTTAATTAATAGTTAGACATTCTCTTGGACAATTTTTGACAGTCCTAAATTGTTTATCTAAATTGTTTACATCTCTTGAGTAGGTATTTATTGGTTTGGTTAAAAGAACTTTGCTTTGCACTGTGATTGCTATGGGGTATGTGCTCAACATGGTCGGGGGTCGGGGTCACCTCCCAATGAACTTTATACATTGTTCAGGGTGATTAATATTTTTTTTTTTTTTTTTTTTTTTTTTTGAGATATATACAAGAGTTGTTACATTCTTGTACAGCCACTAGTACGCGTAGCGTTTCGGGCAAGTCCTTAATCCTATGGTCCCTGGAATACGATCCCCTGCCGCGAAGAATCGTTTTTTCATCCAAGTACACATTTTACTGTTGCGTTAAACAGAGGCTACAGTTAAGGAATTGCGCCCAGTAAATCCTCCCCGGCCAGGATACGAACCCATGACATAGCGCTCGCGGAACGCCAGGCGAGTGTCTTACCACTACACCACGGAGACTGTAAATATAGCGATGAGCGGGGGGAGGGGTAGAGAGGAGGGGTCATTACTCCCCATTTATGAATGGGGGGCCTTCTGTTCTGCTTTTTCTTAGTTTAAACTGTAACTAACCATCTTGAGTGAGATGAGGGGATGTTAGATGAACTATATAATGTCTCATTTAGAATAGGGAAGCAGTATAGCTAAACTTAGTAAAGAAAAAAGGATATATATATAGTTAGAAGTGTATAGGGGCAGGTTTGAGAGGCATATAAATAGATTTTTAAGCAAAATGGAATATATTGCTTCAGACAGACATTATCTGTGCTGGAGCTATTTTCTCTCCCCCCCACACAATATACAGCTTACGTGGCACTCTGAGGCACTGTAGTGCCATTAATGGCTGACTGGCACTCTATTATATAACCCGTCAAGCACTCAACCCACATTAGACGAAACTTTCCATACAAACCATTGAAGAATGACATGGGTTCACGACCCGCTAATGGCCATTTAGGGGTTGAACTTGGCTCTATGATAACGTAGGAGGAGTAATTAAGTCTTTAAGAAAGTAAGTTAAGACGGCAACTGTCTCAAGTCTGCCGCTTCCATTACAAGACAAGTCTAAGTTACCACGGCATGATATAGCCCAATTGTTAAGTCGTTTTAACAGCCTTCTGCAGGCCATTCACGGGCCTATAAGACAATTATCACACTACACGGCCTATATAACCCTATATAAAGCCACAATTTGCATATGAATCCCAATTATATAATACACAAAGGACATATATTTGCCAAATATATAATTTTCGGTCATTTTAAATGGGAAATGAAGGTGTCTGATGACCTCAGGATGATCCACAAAGGCAGATTTGTATCATTCGAGGGCAGAGGAGGGATAATATACGGGGCATGATGGTGTGGCAGCGGGTATTATGGGGGTGGGCGAGGCAAGTGATGAGCGACTGGGCAGCCAGGGTGGGTATATACCCCCTCATACCCCCAACCCTCCTAAACCACCCCAACACCTCGCCCAGCTGCCCAGCCCTCCTTCCAACACCACTCTAGCTAACCTACCGTCACCCCGAGGCCCTTATCTGGTGCTTAAGTGCGTCCCCGAGGCCCTAAGGCAGTGTCTACGATCGTTACAAGGCGATTATAGCTGTCCGAGGCCCTTATCTTGTCCTCAAGTGCGTCCCCGAGGCCCTAAGGCAGCGTCTACGGTCGTTAGAAGGCGATTGGAGCTGATCTGCCATCACCCGAGGCCCTCAACTTGTGCTCAAGTGCGTCCCCTAGGCCCTAAGACAGCGTCTACGGTCGTTAGAAGACGAGTGAAGCTGCCCGAGGCCCTCAACTTGTGCTCAAGTGCGTCCCCTAGGCCCTAAGACAGCGTCTACGGTCGTTAGAAGACGAGTGAAGCTGCCCGAGGCCCTCAACTTGTGCTCAAGTCCGTCCCCTAGGCCCTAAGGCAGCGTCTACGGTGTTATATACGCCAATTCCATCCTCCTACCCTAACCCTGGCGGGTATGTGGGGTTGTGTCGGGTACCTGGTGGTGGTGGGCACATATGTGGGCACGTATGTGGGGGCGGCCGCCCCCGGCGACCCTTACGACTTCCTATATAAGGAGGGCGTGACGGCCTACCTGGAGGAGGACTGGCTCAAGTGTATCAAGAACTTCGAGGCGGCCCTGCTCGACTACCACTGGGTGCGGGAGCACGTCGCTAGGTGGGTATTGGTGGGGTATTGTGGCTCCTGGTGGGTACTGTGGGTACTGACTCCTGGTGGGGTGAGGGAGCACGTCGCTAGGTGGGTATGGTGGGTACTGTGGGTACTGGCTCCTGGTGGGGTGCCGGAGCACGTCGCTAGGTGGGTACTGTGGGTGCTGGTGGGGTGCCGGAGCACGTCGCTAGGTGGGTATGGTGGGTACTGTGGGGTATTGTGGCTCCTGGTGGGTACTGTGGGTACTGACTCCTGGTGGGGTGCGGGAGCACGTCGCTAGGTGGGTATGGTGGGTATTGGTGGGGTGCCGGAGCACGTCGCTAGGTGGGTACTGTGGGTGCTGGTGGGGTGCCGGAGCACATCGCTAGGTGGGTATGGTGGGTACTGTGGGTACTGACTCCTGGTGGGGTGAGGGAGCACGTCGCTAGGTGGGTATGGTGGGTACTGTGGGTACTGGCTCCTGGTGGGGTGCGGGAGCACGTCGCTAGGTGGGTACTGTGGGGTATTGTGGCTCCTGGTGGGGTGTGGGAGCACGTCGCTAGGTGGGTATGGTGGGTACTGTGGGGTATTGTGACTCCTGGTGGGTACTGTGGGTACTGGCTCCTGGTGGGGTGTGGGAGCACGTCGCTAGGTGGGTATGGTGGGTACTGTGGGGTATTGTGGCTCCTGGTGGGTACTGTGGGGTATTGTGGCTCCTGGTGGGTACTGTGGGTACTGACTCCTGGTGGGGTGCGGGAGCACGTCGCTAGGTGGGTATGGTGGGTACTGGTGGGGGTATTGTGGCTCCTGGTGGGTACTGTCTCCGGGTCCGTCTAATTACCACAAGCTTCACAAGCTGCAAGGTGCAACAGGTACTCTGAGAGAGAACTCTATCAACATCAGAGGCCCGAGACTGTTCAACACGCTTCCACTACACATAAGGGGCATAACTGGCAAACCCCTCACAGTGTTCAAGAGAGAACTGGATAAGCACCTCCAAAGGATACCTGATCAACCAGGCTGTGACTCATACGTCAGGCTGCGAGCAGCCGCGTCTAACAGCCTGGTTGATCAGTCCAGCAACCAGGAGGCCTGGTCGACGACCGGGCCGCGGGGACACTAAGCCCCGGAAGCACCTCAAGGTAGCCTCAAGGTAGCTTCACAAGCTTCACAAAGCTTCCTGGCAGTACGTTAGTAATGAATAAATATGATACGTTAGGTTAGGCTGACCTGACCTAACTTAACCTAACCTAACCTTACATAACCTAACTTAACCTAACCTAACCTATCCTAACCTAACCTATCCTAACCTAACCTTATGTAACCTAACCTAACCTAACTTAACCGAAGCTTGGATCGTCGACTAGATTTGGCATCACCAGCTTTTTATTTTCGGCTAATTTCTTTATAAAAAGATACTTTTTCAGATTCAAATTATGTTTTTTCGTGTTGTACATTCAGCACCAACATTATAATGAGTAAATATATCATATTTATTCATTACTAATGTACTGCCAGGAAGCTTTGTGAAGCTTGTGGTAATTAGACGGACCGCCTGGTGGATACTGGCTTCTTGTGGGTACTGGGCTGGCTCCTGGTGCATAGGCAAATGGAGCTGACCTTTGACAAGCCGCCAGCTTCCTGTCTTCATTGAGGCCACTAGTGTTATTGGCTCTCAGGTAAACTCGGGTAAGACCCTAAGGAATTGCTTCCTTGAAACGTGTAAAAATAATTCGGGGTCTGTGAGGACCAGGAGGCACTGATTTGGCTGCGGGTCTGTGGGGCACTGTGCTTTTTGGCTGCGGGGCTCGTGGGGCACTGCGCTTTTTGGCTGTGGGTCCGAGGGGCACTGCGCTTTTTGGCTGCGGGTCCAAGGGGCACTGCGCTTTTTGGCTGTGGGCCTGTGGGGCACTGCGCTTTTTGGCTGCGGGTCTGAGGGGCACTGCGCTTTTTGGCTGTGGGCCCGCCGGGCACTGTGCTTTTTGGCTGTGGGCCCGTGGGGCAGTGCGCTTTTTGGCTGCAGGTCCGAGGGGCACTGCGCTTTTTGGCTGCGGGTCCGAGGGGCACTGCGCTTTTTGGCTGCGGGTCCGAGGGGCACTGCGCTTTTTGGCTGTGGGCCCGTGGGGCACTGCACTTTTTGGCTGCGGGTCCGAGGGGCACTGCGCTTTTTGGCTGTGGGTCCGAGGGGCACTGCGCTTTTTGGCTGTGGGCCCGTGGGGCACTGCGCTTTTTGGCTGCGGGTCCGAGGGGCACTGCGCTTTTTGGCTGTGGGCCCGTGGGGCACTGCGCTTTTTGGCTGCGGGTCCGAGGGGCACTGCGCTTTTTGGCTGCGGGCCCGTGGGGCACTGTGCTCTTTGGCTGAGGGCCCGTGGGGCACTGCGCTCTCTAAGCTAGTTGAGCATTGGCTAGTTAAGTTGGTTTTGCAGTACAATAATAGAGATTATAACGCCCATTCTCCAAGTCCCTGTGGCGTAGTGGTAAAACACTTGTCTTGCGTTTCGCGAGCGTTTTGGCCTGGGTTTGTATCCTGGCCGGGAAGGATTGACTGGGTGCCAATCCTTAACATTAGCCTCTGAAGCCATTCTAGAGTGAATGGGTAACTAGTTGTTAAATGATTTAGAGGGTTGTATTCGGGGGAAAATTAGGATTACCACGGCACTTGGCAAAGCGCCTTTAGGTGCTCTGCAATTTTTAGGGGAGTTGTGCAATTTTTTTTTAATTAGGCTATATTTTAATGTTTTTATAATGTTGTCATTATTCTGTGTGTTTTGAAATGGAAATACAGTAGTTGAGTTTGGAAACATTTTGACATTAACTTTACCTGAATATTTATAAACATCAACAAAAATATGTCCTTGACAATTGCACTAAGAAGTTTTTGCCGAGACCAGGTGCGCAGTGAAGGGGTTAAGGACTTGCCCGAAATGCTATGCGTGATAGTGGCTGTACGAGAATGTAAGAACTCTTGTACTGTGTATATAAATACAGTAATAATAATAAAAAAGAAGGCACTGACTGATACCCGGTGAGTTGTTCCTTATCCTCTCTGCTATCCTGATGTTTTTAGTTTTTTCCAGTGATTTTTTTTCCCCACTGTAGATAGCACTACTCACATTCGTTTTCTTTGATGTTTTGTCTGGTGGCTTCGTTATGTTCTCTGCGTGTGGCCTCTCTTTGTCGATTGATTCATTGACTATTTCCTCTGTCCAATATTTCTATGTTCATACATGTGGTTACTTTGTCTCTACCTCTTTTTTGTTTTCTTTAAAGCAAGTTAAAAATTTGAAGAAAATTAGCAGGTACAATATAGTATAATTTGAGGCTTATCAACAGGTACATTGTAGCATAATTATTATATAGCATAAATATAATGTAGAGATGTAAACTGAAGATGTCAAGAAAAGTGTTATAGTGTAACTCAGTATAACAATGATACTGATCGATATCTCTGGTATAAGTTCCAGCTATCGAGAGCTGTTACAAATTTTACAAACTTTACACAGTATTACTGTACCGTATTTAGAAAATGACGGTGGTCATTTCTCTGATTGTGTACAATATGCAGAGTGTCAGGCTTGTGGATTATTGCTAGCTTTTAGTGTTCTAACCAATAATTGTGTTATATAAATGTAGTAGTATATATATATATATATGTGTGATTTCAGCATTGACCTCTACAGGAACTTGTATCTTTCTTGACAGTTGTCGGAGGAAATGCAGCGGAGAGAGTGCAGCGGGCAAGCTCATGTCGGCCAAACTGTCGGAAGATGACAGGTTTTACGAGAGAGCGGTGTATAACACCTTGTGCGTGGTGAAGTGCAAGAAGTCTATTTTTGGCTCGCGAATGGATCGGATAGTCGAGGGTAATATCAACGAGGATTTTCACAACAGAAAGCCCTATGACTATCTTCAGCTTTGCTACTTTAAAGTAAGAAATATCTTAAAACTTTTATTGAATGAATTTGTGGCTTTTGTCCACTACACTTCGGTGTCCATGTTTGAAGAAAGTCTTCACTATCGTATATATCTCTCACAATTTATTATGTATGCAGCAGTACATGTTTAGTAATTAATATTCAACAAGAGTAAAACATAATTTGACATTTAGGAACTAAAGCTGGTTACATATTTGATTAGATAGTTCTTAGTTTCTCCATTTTGATTTAACCATTTTTACATATTTTACATATGTGCCAAGTTCTTAGTTCTAAAGTTTCCTAGTTTATTCATAAACCCATAACTTTGGGAGTTATAAATTTTTGCATCTATATTTTGCACATACAGTATTTGGAATGCTACAGTGACAATTTTTTTTTTACAGTAACTATACTCTACTCTCAAATTCAATTTCCCCTGCAGGAAAATTACCATTATATGCCATTCTGAGCCCATAATGAATAAAATAAAAATTGGTGAAATATTAAATTCAACTTCATTTGAAATTGTAAAATTTTGTATTTAAAAACATTTTTTTTTCCTGTTCATGATATGATATTAATTCATTATGAAAAGTTGGAGTATTTACCATTTAGATTATGCATAAAACATTTGATAGTATTTGAGGAAGGTTGAGAATTTGTAAAGACTTGCCCGAAACTATGCGAACTAGTGGCTGTACAAGAATGTAACAACTCTTGTATATATAAATACAAAATACTGTAATAATACAGTATTATAAATACAGCCAATGAATTGCCTGTGCTATACTATAGTTACCAGTGTTGAGAGAAAAATATTGTACACACACAAATCACAATAGCTCGATGCCTCAAATGAATAAATCCACAAGGGCCGTGATGAGGGTTCGAACTTACGTCCGGGATGATCCCAGACGCGCCTTAGTCAATTGCACCACGACATGGTCAAAAGATTACAACCGGGAGTGCTACTCCCCTCACACGGATCACGCAGCCTCTCTGAGACACAAACCAGGGTTTTACACAATTCTCCCATGCACCCGGGACCTGTCAACAAGCTGTTCTGCCTCTTTGCCCTTTCTTCGTTACACTCCCTCATTATGGCCCTTGTGGATTTGCTTATTAAAAATACTGCGTTTATATTGATTCTTTAGTGATTATGTTTATTTGTTCCATTTATGATATTGTGTCTGGAGCTCACAAGGCCTGATATTGAGTTACACTGTACTTGGAACATTTGTTCTAATGCATAGTATTAGACACTGAAAACTCCCATTCAAATTCTAAACACCATGCAAAAGAAATGTAGCAACTTAAGCCTAATGACTGGTTGTTAGTTATAAGGAAACATAGGTCTAATAAATAAATAAATAAATTTTTATTCAGGAAAAGTACATGCATAGTTGATTTACAAACATAATGTTGGATTTATAGATAGAGCTCGTACATAAAATACCTAAAGCCAGTAATACGCATAGCATTTTGGGCAAGGTGTGGGTGGGAAAACCCCGCCCCACTTAGACTAAAACTTAATAGTAATTGGGATTAGGTATAAATTGTGTTGAAAAAAGGAATGAAAAAATAAAAATGGGGAATATGGCAGAACTCATCAATTGTACAAGTTGGAGAACAAACAGCATTGTTTAACAAAAGCAAGACATGGGTTGACATTTAGGGGGTAAGGTAGGGTTCTTATATTCTGTGTCCCTTGATTTGTAAAGCATTTCTAGTTTGGTTAAGTTGCATTTTTGGAATATCAAATAGGTATTTGTTTCTGGTGTGATGCCCATGAGTTCTGTTACATTCTTATGCCTAATGTAGTACAGTGTGCAAAATGCACTTTTTTTTTTTTTTAAGATATATACAAGAGTTGTTACATTCTTGTACAGCCACTAGTACGTGTAGTGTACATATATACTACACTAGGCCTAGATAAATAGGTTACATTTTTACTTCCTCTCCTGGATCAATCCCCGACCGTCCAAGTGGTTGGGCACCATTCTCCCCTCCCCCTTCCCGTCCCATCCCAAATCCATATCCTGATCCCTTCCAAGTGCTTTATAATTGTAATGGCTTAAGACTTTCTCCTGATCATTCCATTCCATTCCATCTCCTGGACCCTCTGTAGTACCAATACTGTGCAGTACTACTGTATATACTATTATATATAATCTCACCAACCCATTGTACCTTCTTGCAAATATATTATTATTATTAATAGTTTGAAACGTGAAATTGTTTTTGGGTGCAACAGTCGTTCACTTTTTCTACATGCACTCCATGGTTGCTACTCCAACCACTTAGGCTGGACGGTAGAGAGACGGTCTCGCTTCATGCAGGTCGGCGTTCAATCCCCTACCGTCCAAGTGGTTGGGGCACCATTCCTTTCCCTTCGTCCCATCCCAAATCCTTATCCTGACCCCTTCCAAGTGCTATATAGTCGTAACAGCTTGGCGCTTTCTCCCTGATATTTTCCTTCCTTCCATAGTTGCTATATGTGCTAGCGTATTGTGAAGGATGTGTTTGACTTTTTGCACTATTGTAATAATTGAACTATGATGTTCGTATTGAGGTTGACGAGTTCAAGAAAGCGGCTGATGCGGCGGCTACGGTGCTGGCGGTGCAGCCTGACCATGAAGTGATGAAGACCAATCTGAAGTATTATCTCGCCGAGGGCCCTCTCAATGCCGAAGATGTTCTCAATTTGGAGCTTCAGGTTAGTAGTATAGGTACAGCACATGTATTTGAACAATTTCATCAAGAGGCTTCCTGTACAGCGGGAACATTAGCTGAGTGGACAGCTCGCTGGACCCGTAATTCTGTGGCCCGGGTTCGATTCCCGGACCAGGCAGAAACAAATGGAAAAGTTTTTCACCCTGAATGCCTGTGTTCACCTAGCAGTAAATAGGCACCTGGGAGTTAGACAGCTGTTACGGAGCTGCTTCCTGGGGGAAAGGGGTGTGGGTGTGTGTGTGGGAAAAAAAAATGAGTTAGTAGTTAGTTACAGTTGATTGATTTTCAGTTGAGAGACGGGCCGAAAGAGCAGAGCTCAACCCCCGCAAGAACAACTACACTGTATGTGAATACAGTTAGGTGAATACATTGATCCTTGGACAACTTCATGGTATCCCCCCCATAGTTATACTGTACTTTATAATCTACAACTGGATTTAATAAATGTTTTTGTTCTGTGTTGTATTAAAAACGAATAAGCCTAGCTATCTTAAGGTTATCTTGAGATAATTTTGGGGCTTAGCGTCCCCCACGGCCCGACCAGGCCTCCTGTTTGCTACACATCCCCAGGAAGCAGGCCGTAGCAGCTGTCTAACTCCCAGGTACCTATTTACTGCTAGGTGAACAGGGGCATCAGGGTGAAAGAAACCCTGCCCATTTGTTTCCACCTCCACCGGAGATCGAACCCAGAACCTCAGGTCTACGAATCCCAAGTGTTGTCCACTCAGCTATCAGGCCCCCTATACAGCTGAGAGGTTTTGTAATGCAAATAGATGCATTTTTTTAATCTTTAATTTTATATAGTAAGAATATTTTAAGATTTTGGATTCAAATTCAAACAATGAGTCCCCCGGAATCATACCATATAGTGTGTTATTTATCATCATACCCTCGTAGCATCATCATAGGGCCTCGTAGCCTGGTGGATAGCGCGCAGGACTCGTAATTCTGTGGCGCGGGTTCGATTCCCGCACGAGGCAGAAACAAATGGGCAAAGTTTCTTTCACCCTGAATGCCCCTGTTACCTAGCAGTAAATAGGTACCTGGGAGTTAGTCAGCTGTCACGGGCTGCTTCCTGGGGGGTGGAGGCCTGGTCGAGGACCGGGCCGCGGGGGACACTAAAGCCCCGAAATCATCTCAAGATAACCTCAAGGTAACCTATACCCCTAATACCATCAAAGATGCCTTTTTTCAAATTTCTGTATAAATTAAATTAGACATTGATGTTGGTCCTTAGGGTAAAGTTGGTAGCATTTGGCTACATAGTACAAGTTATTGACATTAAAATTGTTATTATTAATGATATTTGCATTTTAAAATGTAAATAATACTTAATGTAATAGATTGTAAGTACAGAATATACTTTGAGATAAGTAAATGACCAGATATATATAGTGCATGCCAGGCATCAGTCAAGAGTGTTTGCCAAGATTGTACTTTGAGTTGCATTAGTCGCCTTTTGTTCTGTTCATGACTACACTATTTGCTAGAAGTGAAGTGATAGTGATACTGCAGATGTCACAATAATTTGGCTGAAGAATGTTGACTAAACCACACGCTAGAAGATGAAGAGACAATGACATTTCGGTCCGTCCTGGACCATTATCAAGTCGATTATGATGAGACGAGGGAGGCAAGGGCATATGTGCTTCAGCCTACAGTTTAGACTTGTTGTCTTGTGTATGGCCCTCTGTCCTGTGTGACAGTGAATACCAGCATTATCCTCACTTTAATAAGACTTAATTGAAATCCTCAGATTATTGACTAAACTAATTACAATTTTGCCTAAAGATGCAGGCGATGAGTCACAATAACGTGGCTAAAGTAATCAACAATCGCCTTGAGAATGGTCCAGGACAGACCGAAACGTCGTCGTCCCTTCACATTCTAGTGTGTGGTCTGTTCATCATTTGCCTAAAGATGTTAATAATAATAATAATTAAGGCAAGAGAGAGGTGAGGAGGAGGAAATCGTAGAGGAAAGTAATAGCAAGGCAAAAAGTACAGAAGGGATAGGTGTAAAAAAGGGGGTGTAAGGGTGGAATAATAGGAGTAAGAATGGGAGCTTATCTTGAGGTTATCTTGAGATGATTTCGGGGCTTTTTAGTGTCCCCGCGGCCCGGTCCTCGACCAGGCCTCCACCCCCAGGAAGCAGCCCGTGACAGCTGACTACCACCCAGGTACCTATTTTACTGCTAGGTAACAGGGGCATAGGGTGAAAAAAACTCTGCCCATTGTTTCTCGCCGGCGCCCGGGATTGAACCCGGGACCACAGGATCACAAGTCCAGCATGCTGTCCGCTCGGCTGACCGGCGTAAGAAACAGAAGAGAAAGGAAAAGATTGGGGTGGGCTTATGTTAGGTCACGTTTGTTTGAAAGTTTCGAACACTTGAGTATGTACTGTGAAAAGAAAGAGTCAACAGCAACAAAGCCAGGACTAAGGTTCATGTTGTGTAGGTTGTGTATTGGAGCCGAATCGACGAGACGGCGTCTGTGAAGAGTAGAGGCAGGAAAGATTATCTTAAAAGAAGACCAATCAATAGGATGATTAGAATCCTTAGCATGACAGAAGAGAGCATTGTTTGTGTCTGCAGATTTAACACTTCTTTTCTGTTCCTTGAGTCTGTCATTAAGTGTACGGGCCAGTTTCCCCAAAGTATTGGAGAGGACAAACAAACCTAAAATACTGTAGAGTAAACACCAGCAGCATTAGAAGTAGGAGGAGAGGTGTGAACCTAAAATACTGTAGAACAAACACCAGCAGCATTAGAAGTAGGAGGAGAGGTGTGAACCTAAAATACTGTAGAATAAACACCAGCAGCATTAGAAGTAGGAGGAGAGGTGTGAACCTAAAATACTGTAGAGTAAACACCAGCAGCATTAGAAGTAGGAGGAGAGGTGTGAACCTAAAATACTGTAGAGTAAACACCAGCAGCATTAGAAGTAGGAGGAGAGGTGTGAACCAGATTAGTACAAAGTGTGGTTAGTTTGTCGAAGGGCAAGCTTTATGTCAAGAGGACGAAAGGTATTAGTAAGAGTTCTGAGTTCAGATATGAAGGGAAGGCAGAGCACAGTGCTACTAGTGTTAGAAGCAGGTTTAGGATGAAAGAAACTTCGTTTAGCTTGAGAGTAGGCACAGTTGATAAAATGTAAGGGGTAATCAAGGCGAGAGAAACATTTATAAATAAAGGAAACTTCAGAATCAAGAAACTGAGGGTCACTGATGTGTAGAGTGCGGAGGAAGAGAGAGACAAGAATAATTTTCTTAACAGGAGGAGGATGGTAGGAAAAGAAGTAAATGTTCATACCACTATGCATGGGTTTGCGGTAGACAGAGAAAGAGAACCTGGACACAGAGCTGTGAACATGAATGTCAAGAAAAGGAAGGAGGGAATTAGATTCCCACTCAACTTTGAAATGGATGGAAGGAGCCAGATTGTTAAGAGCGGAGAGGAAAGGCTGGAAAAGATTAAGGTCATAAGGCCATAAAGCAAAAAAGTCCCTGCATTATTGTGTGGAACAAATGCATGAATTATTGTGTGTGAGACAAATGCATGCATTATTGTATGTGACAAATGCATGCATTATTGTGTGTGACAAATGCATGCATTATTATGTGAGACAAATGCATGCATTACTGTAAATGTGACAAATGCATGCATTATTGTGTGACAAATGCATGCATTATTGTGTGACAAATGCATGCATTATTGTAAATGTGACAAATGCATGCATTATTGTGTGAGTCAAATGCATGTATTATTATGTGAGACAAATGCATGCATTATTGTGTGACAAATGCATGCATTATTGTGTGACAAATGCATGCATTATTGTGAGACAAATGCATGCATTATTGTAAATGTGACAAATGCATGCATTATTGTGTGAGACAAATGCATGCATTATTATGTGAGACAAATGCATGCATTACTGTAAATGTGACAAATGCATGCATTATTGTGTGTGTGACAAATGCATGGCATACATTGCATGCAAGATAAAAGCATACATTATTGTGTGAGAGATAAATGCATACATTATTGTATTTATATCATTCACTGCATAATCATTTTGTATTTCAATTTCAGGAGTATGGTAAAGAGTTCATCAAGGGGAATGTGGCATATAATAATGGAGACTATAAAACGACAATTATACACATGGAAAAGAGTTTGGCTTTGTTCTATGATGCGATGGAAGATTGCCGTCACTTGTGCGAAAACCCATTTGATCAGGGCTGGTTCCCTGATTTTATTTCATCACTTGCAAGTGAGTATGATCCTGACTTCTGTAAAACATTTTTGTTAGCAGACAATACGTATGGTTAATATAATTATATTTAGATACAGTTGTCCTTTGTTTGACCGCTTCAGATGTGAAAAATGTAACTAGGTCAGAATTTACCTCTGGAGCATACCCGGAGTGGGTCCTGGGAGTTGTTGTTCTCCCCAAGCCCGGCCCGAGGCCAGGCTTGACTTGGGAGAGTTTGGTCCACCAGGCTGTTGCTTGGAGCGGCCCGCAGGCCCACATATACCTGGTTGATGGGGTTCTGGGTTCACCAGGCTGTTGCTTGGAGCGGCCCGCAGGCCCACATATACCTGGTTGATGGGGTTCTGGGTTCACCAGGCTGTTGCTTGGAGTGGCCCGCAGGCCCACATATACCTGGTTGATGGGGTTCTGGGAGTTCTTCTACTCCCCAAGCCCGGCCCGAGGTCAGGCTTGACTTGAGAAAGTTTGGTCCACCAGGTTGTTGCTTGGAGCGGCCCGCAGGCCCACATACCCACCACAGCCCAGTTGGTCTGGTGCTTCTTGTAACTTAACTTTATGTATCATGTTCTATATTTACTTTAATTAATAGTGGAAAGGTAAATGAGCGGCGTTCAAAAGAGAACTTGATGAACACTTTCAAAGGATACCTAATAAACGAAGCTATGACTCGTACATCAGTCTGTGAGCAGCTGCATCGAACAGTCTGGTTGACCAGACCACCAACCTGGAGGCCTGGTTAGAGACTGGGCCGTGGGGACATTGATCCTCGGAATCATTGATAGTGGAAAGGTAAATAGATTTCTGGTGAAGTAGATGCGGTTGTTGCACAAGAATGCTTGTGCTAGGCGTCCGCAGACATGTAGGTCTCATAATATAAATGGCTAATAAAGGAGTAGTGAAGGCAAAAGGAGTGTTGAGTGATGGAAGTTACCTATCATTGCCTACGGAGGAGTGAGATCGAGCTCTTTATGCCCCGCCTCCTAGTCTAATAATAATAATATACACATAATAATAATAATAATAATAATATACACGTGGAAAATACTGGAGGGCCAGGTCCCAAATCTACACAGTAAAATAACAACGTACTGGAGTGAACGATATGGAAGAAAATGCAAGATTGAACCAGTGAAGAGCAGAGGTGCTATAGGCACAATCAGAGAGCACTGTATAAACATCAGAGGTCCACGTTTGTTCAACGTCCTCCCAGCGACTATAAGAAATATTGCCGGAACAACTGTGGACATCTTCAAGAGAAAACTGGACTGTTTTCTAAGAGAAATTCCGGATCAGCCGGGCTGTGGTGGGTATGTGGGCCTGCGGGCCGCTCCAAGCAACAGCCTGGTGGACCAGACTCTCACAAGTCGAGCCTGGCCTCGGGCCGGGCTTAGGGAGTAGAAGAACTCTCAGAACCCCATCAACCAGGTATCAAGCAGGTAGTCGTGTATACCTGGCACACACTACCTCTCAACATTAAAATTTTTGTCACATTTTTCTTCAAGTTTAGGATGAAACTGTCTTCAACAAGTCCTTCAGTGTATCCCACCCGCCAACTACCTGTATAGGGAACATAACTTTCCTTACGTCAATTGCACATCTAGCTTCCAGCGATTTTTCCTTGTCATACCTCGTCTTAATCGAGTCTTTTAATGGGGCACAGAAAATAATGTGATGTTTAATGAGGATGTGTTCCAATTACTGCTCTATGGAAAAAACAAAAATATCAAGCAGATCAAAATATCAGACATGCAGTCAACCGCACAATTGAAAGAAAAAGCAATGCCAAAGATTAAGGAGTAATCATGTCAGAAGACCTTACTTTTAAAGGACACAATAAAATAGCTGTCACAACTGCAAGAAAAATGACAGGATGGATAACGAGAATCTTTTGAAACAAGAGTTGTCACATCAATGATACTTTTTAAGACATAAATGCTCTTTAGAGTGGGATATTATTGCACACTAACAGCCCCATTCAAAGCTGGAGAAATTTCATACCTGGAAAGCATGCAAACATCTTTTACTGCTAGAATCCACTCAATAAAACATCTAAATTATTGGAACTGACCGCATAAAATCTGTATTCCCTAGAGCGCAGGTGAAAAAAATGCATAATAATTAACTTGGAAAATACTAGGAGGACTGGTTCCAAATCTGCCCACAGAAATAAGACCACATAAGACCAGAAGGCTTTGCAGTATGTGCAAGCTAGCCATATTGAGAATCAGAGGTGCTATAGGCATGCTGAGAGAGCGAACTGGATCAACATCAAAGGCTCAAGACTTTTCAACTCTCCCTCTACACATGAACACGGGTGGAACACGAACAAGAGGACACAGTGGTAGACGGTTGGAACAAATTAGGTGAGACGGTGGTGGAGGCCAAAACCATCAGTAATTTCAAAGCGTTATATGACAAAGAGTGCTGGGAAGACGGGACACCACGAGCGTAGCTCTCATCCTGTAACTACACTTAGGTAATTACACTTAGGTAATTACAGGTGGAAACTTAGTACCCAGATGAGCCACAGAGACGTTAGAAAGAATTTTTTCAGTGTCAGGGTAGTTAATAAATGAAATGCATTAAGTAGTGTTGTGGTGGAGGCAGACTCCATACACAGTTTCAAATGTAGATATGATAGAGCCCAATAGGCTCAGGAATCTGTACACCAGTTGATTGACAGTTGAGAGGCGAGGACCAAAGAGCCTGCAAACACAACTAGGTGAGTACATATGGGGCATAACTGGCCAACTTCTGCGGCATTCAAACGAGAACTTGATAAACACTTTCAAAGGATACCTGATAAATCAAGCTATGACTCGTACATCGGTCTGTGAGCAGCTGCATCGAACAGTCTGGTTGACCAGACCACCAACCTGGAGGCCTGGTTAGAGACTGGGCCGTGGGGACATTGATCCTCGGGATCATTGACAGGTATACGACAAGTATATTTCCTCTCCCTTTGGGATACTTTTGTGATTGCCTTCATGAGTTTCACCCATATTTTTTCATATTCCATTTAGTCATAGTTTTGGAAGGGGGTATATTACATTAATGGTTTATGTTTGAGGCTGCTGCTTAACCCCTGCACTGTGCACCTGGTTTTGGCAAAAATTTCATGGTGCCGTTGTTAAGGACATATTTTTGTTGTTTTTTATAAATGGTCGGTTAAAGTTAATGTCAAAATGGTTTCCAAACTCGACCATTTTCATTTCAAAACACAGAGTGATGAAAATATTAAAAAACAGTAAAATATAGCCTAATTAAACCCTGTTGTGGCCGCATTACCAGCCCCTCCCCTGTTGTGGCCGCACACCCGGCCCCCTGTTGTGGCCGCACTCCTGGCCCCCCCCCTGTTGTGGCCACACCCGGCCCCCTGTTGTGGCCACACCCGGCCCCCTGTTGTGGCCACACAACCCATGGTTGTGGCTCATCAACCAGGTATCAACCAGGTATCACACACCCGGTCCCCTGTTAAAGAGGTTAAGATGTTTGATAGTGTGTGTGTATTGTCCAGAAGAGTAAATAAATGAATTGGTTTCTCTACAGATCACTACACCTTCACGCTCCGCTGCAAGAGAAGATGTACCTGGCAGCTGAGCAATCTGTACGGGGAAATCATGGACGATTTCTTTTACTCGTATTTCAATTATCTGCAATATTCGTACTACAAAGGTAAGCAAGCTGTCATATTTTGTAGCACTAGGCATCTGAAAATTGATCACATGTTCTATACTCTAGTGGTATCGTGAGATGATTTCGGGGCTTAGCGTCAAGTGGACGAGTGTCCGAACAAGTGTCTTACCACTGCGCCACGGGGACTGCTATCTACTATAGCATTAGCTACTGTATATTTATTTTCATTATGATTAATAGTATTCTTTCTATTTGCAGAGGGTGATACAGAGAAGGCTTGTGAAGCTGTAGCAACCGCACTCTTCGTAAATCCCACAGATGAAGTACAAATACGCAATAAGCAGTTCTTCATTATAGATGAGGGAGTTTCTGAGGACCTCTTTGTTCCAAGAAAGGTATTCATTTACTGTATTAGCTGCGTAGATATATCTTTTTAGGAATATCTTTGATGTTGTCATGGCTCTCTTTGGGCTGCATGCCTGCCTGCCTGTTTTTGGGTCGTGGCCTTGCTGGTTCCTTTCTTGGACTATGAGAGTCATTTGGCCATCCACAGAGACCTGCTTGCCTTGAAGTGGGGGGTTTCGTGAGACTGGTAAAACTCAACCATCTACATGCAGAGAGACAATTAAACATAATCCTTGAGGTTCAAATCAAAGTGTAGTACTGTACTTAGAAATAGGTAAGATTCATTCACTTCTTAACCACCTGTGAATCTGAGCGAATGAGTATGTTGCTGACGGCCTGTCACACCACAAGTGTCTTGTGCAGGCTTTACGCCAAGATGCTTCTCCGCCAAGAGCAGTCTCCGTGGTGCAGTGGTAAGACACTCGCCTGGCGTTCCACGAGCGCTATGTCATGGGTTCGTATCCTGGCCGGGGAGGATTTACTGGGCGCAATTCCTTAACTGTAGCCTCTGTTTAACGCAACAGTAAAATGTGTACTTGGATGAAAAAACGATTCTTCGCGGCAGAGGATCGTATTCCAGGGACCATAGGATTAAAGACTTGCCCGAAACGCTACGCGTACTAGTGGCTGTACAAGAATGTAACAACTCTTGTATATATCCCCCCCCCCCCAAAAAAAAAAAAAAGATGCTAGTCTCCTTGGCCAAGCAGTTTCACTGGCAAGATGCTTGTAAACATGTGCTTCTGCATGTGGACCCTGCATGAGAGGGAGAGAGAGAAAGAGAGAGAGAGAAAGAGAAAGAGAAAGAGGGGAGGGCAGACAGAGAAGGAGAGATGGGGGGGGGGGGGAGAGAGAGACAGGGTAAGGAAGAGAGGGAGATAGCAAGACACAGAGAGAGGAAGAGAGAGAACGAGGGAGAGGGAGGGAGGGAGGAAGTGAGAGATAGGGGGAGAAGGAAGGAGGCAGGGAGAGATAGGGGGATAGGGAGGAAAGAAGGATGGAAGAGATAGAGGGAGGGAGGGAGGGAGGGAGGGAAGAGACACAGATAGATGGCCGTTTGAATGTAGAACACATTATCTCCGGTTCTAGTTGATTGTCGATGTCGTCCCTTTCCCTCAATTGATGTATGATAACTTACATATAAGTTGATTCGTTGGTCACAATGGATGATGCTCATGTGTGTGTCTATCTCTTAGATTTTAGTTTACAGCTTCACTTCACATAATGAAGTGTTGATCAAATGATTAATGCAGTGATTTATTTATTAACGCAGTGATTTGTTGATTAACGCAATGATTTGTTGATTAATGCAATGACTTGTTGATTAACGCAATGATTTGTTGATTAAATGTGTAATGCTCGTTGAGTTAACTTAACACTTTCGCTCACCCCGCGCGCCACCCCTCGACAGGGCGATATGGGCCCCAGCGTGTCACAGAAGCGCGCGTTAATTCCGAAAAGTGTATACTCTCTTCAACTTTGTCACCTCAATTCTCCTTCTACGAGAATAAATTTGGTATCATTGTGTTCGCAATAAAATTCTCTACAGCACTAAATGCATATAAACTCCAAAAGCCCGGCTAATTACCCGCAGCAAACAGAGAAAGTGCGAACGAGTTACCCGGGAGCGCGCAAACGGGATAAAATGTTTTCACTATTTTCACTCTGGTCACCTCAATTTTTGTCCTAGGTCTTTCATTTTGGTCTCAATGGGTTCGTAATAAAATTCTCTAGAGGAACATTAGCATATAAAAAAAAACACCTGGTCACGCTCCAACCGCCGACGAGTTGAAGACGGGCCACGCGTTAGCCGTGAGTGAGCGCTCAGAGGCCTTCCTACTACACTCCCAATTCCCACCCTTTTCAAGCCTTTCTTTCGCAATTTTCTTCCTGGAAGGGCCTTGTTCATGATTACTATCCATCGTGGAGTAAGCGTAGATAGTTTCTAAAGCCGCAGTAAGAAATATAGCCACGGAAAATAGCCGAAATGTTCACACGTTTGAGATGCGAGGGGAGACGACATTGGTCACAACAGTGGAGCAAAGACAATGGGCCCACGGCGTGTGCCAAGCCGCCTGAGGGCCACGAGGCTCAACAAAGGAAATGGGAAGACATCGGCGCACATTTTAAAACCAGTCCCCAAAAAATCGGATACAAACCTGATTTTTGGCGAATTTTTAAAGTGGATGACGCAATGCTGCGTCATCCCCGGCATTACCGCCAGTAAACGGATGACGCAATGCTGCGTCATCCCCGAGCGAAAGTGTTAATGTGTTGGTTGTGTTAGTGCAGTAATTTCTTCCGATAGCTAGCAGACAGTTATGCAAGTCTTGTCTGTAGTGTACACCAACTGAGAATGTATGCTCTTTCCTACACTACGGAGAGGAATTAGTCTATGCAAATTAGCCAATAAATCGGGTAAATCAGGTATGAGGGTTAAGCATCCCCACCGGCTTTAAGCCTATAGGCTCATCTGAGGTGGCGAATTCCATTGTCTCGAGTAAGTCACCGATATGGCCAGCGGTCAGAACGTTAACCTCGCCCATAATCAAATTAATTTCTCACCCACCTAGTCAAATAGCGACGCCCCTTCTTGTTGGACTGAAACAATTATTTACACTGTAATTCGTACTCGGTCCAAACAAGTCAGTTGTTAGGCACACAATGGCCCTTGTGTGGTAATGTTGTTATAAACCACCATCTCAAACTTTATACTCTTGAAATAATGCCCGAAACGCTTTGTGATGCCCGAAACGCTTTGCGTAATAGTGGCTTTAGGCATTGTATGTACTAGCCCTAACTATAAAGCCATCACTCTTTGTAAAATCTCTTGTATGTATGTACCTTACCTAAATAAACATTTGATTTGAATTCTGTGTTATTTCAACTTTAGATAAACATGCATGAATTTGTCAGCTTAATGGATATGATTTCTGTCTTTGCTCTTGATACTGGTTAACTCTTTATCAGCACTTATTATATATATACAATTTTGGTCTAACTGCCTGCACAGCGCACATCATATACATTTTAAAGTATCATATAAGATTAAAAGTCCTGCGGTTACACAGGGTTCACATCAGCTTTCTCAGGGCTTTAGCAAACAGATGCCATTTAAAAAAAAAAAATCGTGGGGTAACATTCCCGGGTGTGAAGGCTTCGGTACTGAGTGAACAACCAAGGCTGGCGCACACAGCATGAGCTAACAGCACTGCTGTTCAGCTTGTGACTACAGCATCGCCTAAAAGTGTCAAAATATATATATAACTGGTATTGTTCAGCCATGATAGTATTACAGAAGACCCCCCCCTGACTGTGATAAAGATTGTGTACAATGTTCAGATATCAGTGAACACAATGCTGTTCACGATATTCACAGTGCTAAGCAGGTAGCCACAACACACTGCCATTGTTTGGGCCATCTAAGAATCTTGAAATGAGTTTTCATGTTCCTTTACAAAATAAACTTGTGGAAAATTATTAATTTACAGGATTTAGTGACGAGGATTATGATAGCAGCATTGTGCTGAGAATTAGCGATGTGCGTAATATGGTGGGAGGAGTAATCTTGGTGAGGGAGGGAGAGAGGGAGGTGGCATCGTAAGTTTACCGAGTGTGGCTGCCACTCTTATTGTCTGGACTCGCTATACCAGCTTAGTGGTTTGTTATGGTGAACACAAATGTAGATACGTGCTTACATATGTAATTACACTATATACACACATGTTATATATAATAACAGCAAAAGGAGCATGTTGGGAGGAGCCATTTCGGTGAGGGATATGATGATGTGTGCTGGCCGCTGTGTGACTTGTCATGCTGTGTATGGTGGCCTCTATGCTGTTTGAACACCATACCAGCTTAGTTGTACAATTATGGTGAACAAAAAATGTAGATACTTATATATAAAATGTCTGTATATAGTGTAATAACAGTATAAACAGCATGATGGGAGGAGGAATGTTGGTGAATCAGGTAGCGTCATCAGCCGAATGGTGTACTCACCTAGTTGTACTTGCGGGGGTTGAGCTTTGTCTCTTTGGTCCCGTCTCTCAACCGTCAATCAACTGGTGTGCAGATTCCTGAGCCTACTGGGCTCTTATCATATCTACATTTGAAACTGTGTATGGAGTCACCCTCCATTACATCACTTCCTAGTGCATTCCATTTATTAACTACTGACACTGGAAAAATTCTTTCTAATGTCTCTGTGGCTCATTTGGGTACTAAGTTTCCACTTGTGTCCCCTTGTTTGTGTTCCACCCGTGCTGAAGAGTGTGTCTTCGTCCACCCTGTCAATTTTTCTGAGAATTTTGTAGGTAGTTATCATGTCTCCCCTTACTCTTCTGTTTTCCAGGGACGTGAGGGTCCTTTAGCCTTTCCTCGTAGCTCATTCCTCTCAGTTCTGGGATGAGCCTGGTGGCATACCGCATACTGTGTTGGTTGCCGCTATGCTGTTTCAATGCACCATACCAGCTTAGTGGTTCACTATGGTGAAAAAACGTGCAGATACAGTTCTTATATATTGTGTGTGTGTGTGTGTGTGTGTACTCACTTAGCTGTACTCACCGAGTTGTGCTTGCAGGAGTTGAGCTCTGGCTCTTTAGTCCCACCTCTTAACTGTCAATCAACTGGTTTACAGATTCGTGAGCCTATTGGGCTCTATCATATCTACACTTGAAACTGTGTATGGAGTCAGCCTCCACCACATCACTGCCTAATGCATTCCTTCTGTTAATTAAATGCTCCGAGATGGAACTAACTACCGTAACTACTCTTGCATGCCACCTTTGCTGTGTGGATGAATACATTGTATGTTATCCAATTTTCCTGGTTTCTTGTTCTAAATTTCATCTCTTCCGAGTCATTTGGAAGGTGGTCCTGCTTACTCAGGGTGAGGTTTATTCTCCCTTTCTCATGATGGTAGTTGTTTAGGGCCTAACGGCCTTAATGAACAAATCCACAAGAGCCGTGACGAGGATTCGAACCTGCGTCCGGGAGCATCCCGGACGCAGGTTCGAATCCTAATGAATTCGCATCATCCTAACGGCCTTCTTTGCCAACACATGTACAATGTATCTACTGTGAATATCTGAGCATGGGGGTAATTGGTGGACCAACCCGAGGTAATTCCCTCTCATTATGTGGTGAATGTTCTTTGCTCATACTGCGCGTAGGTTGCTCTTGATCATCTGGCCTGAAGCCGAGTTGTTCGGCATTTGATGGTCTCTTTAACTACCTTTCTCCATGGGTAAATACAGGCTGTCTTTCTGTTTTCTCTCTCTTGTGTTGCTGTTCGGAATTGACGGCATCCTGTGTCGAGGCTCCGATGGGAGATAGCATTAGGGAGATACTGATGGGGCCCTCCCTGAAAACATCCAGATTGATTGATTGATTGATGACGATTAAGCCACCCAAAAGGTGGCACGGGCACGAATAGCCCGGAAGTGGTGGCCCTTCTGAGCCATTACCAGTATCAAGAGCTGATACTGGAGATCTGTGGAGGTGCGACTGCAGCCTGCATGACGGGAGATGTCTTCCTTGTGAATGTGTTAAGATGAAGATGAAGCCACCCAAAAGGTGCCACGGGCATGAATAGCCTATAAGTGGTGGCCCTTTTGAGCCATCACCAGTACGATACTGGAGATCTATGGAGGTGCGACTGCACCCTGCATGACAGGAGATGTCTCCCGTGGAAAAACATCCAGCATTGAATGTAATAAAGCACCATTTTCTGGTGGGCCCACTCAGTAATTTCACATATCAACCCATTTTCCACCTTTCTAGTGGAATTGGGCATGTATCTAGGTAGTGATCTCACTAAAGAAACAGATCGTTTGCATCGCTTTTGTCCAGATTACTAATTTCTCCTTGCAGTTGCTTGTTTTAGAGTGTTTTGACTTGCTGGTGGGGCCTTTTGTTTGGTTGTGGGGTAATGTTATATACGTTATATACAGACTCTGCTTTTCCTCAATGACTTGGCCAGATTATGGTCGTAGCCCCTGGTAGGTGCAGACGATGAGTCACAATAACGTGGCTGAAGTATGTTGACCAGACCACACACTAGAAGGCGAAGGGATGACTACGTTTCGGTCCGTCCTGGACCATTCTTGAGAATGGTCCAGGACGGACCGAAATGTCGTCGTCCCTTCACCTTCTAGTGTGTGGTCTGGTCAACTTCCCAGTAGGTATTCATGGGTCAAGAACTCATAGGTATTCATGGGTCATAGTTGCTGTGTTCCCCTAAGTCTTGACCATTGCCAGCTTGGAACATCAGGATGCCTGGCCAAAAAATAAAAAATAAAACATTTCATTACTGTTTGAATGCTGGAATTTTTTTTGGGGTGAACTATGTGTGTTTACTGTCACATTACAACATTATTAAAAAGAATCATTTTCATTACATTTATATCTAGTGGAAGTGACATTTAGAAATAAATTTTGTGGTTTGAGCGTATGAGCGTTTTACATTGCAAATCTAAATGGAATGGAAAGATAAGATGATTTGATGGTTATTGCTATATGATGATTTGTTTACCCAGGATGCTGTGGCATTCATCGAGAGGGAGGACTTCGAAGAGAAGCTGATGGAGTATATTGAAACCCATTTTGTCTTTCTGAAGGATGATGATTTTGACGACGATGATGACAGTGATGCTACTAAGGTGTGTACAGATAAAACATTCATCTTTATTTAATCATTTTAGTGTCTAATTTATGTTTAAGCTTTTAAAATAGAATTTTTAAAATTTTTTGCTCTTTGTTTTTTTTTTTTTATAGTGTTAGAATTGCTTTTACACTTTAGCATTCCAATAATGCTAAAATGTGTCATATTGTGACGGTAAATGTGTTGATGAATCGCCCATCTAATTTTTTTTTATGGCTTTATGAAGCTGTCTCGGTGAGAATGCTCCCAGGGAGTCGGTCGGCCGAGCGGACAGCACGCTGGACTTGTGATCCTGTGGTCCCGGGTTTGATCCTGGATGCCGGCGAGAAACAATGGGCAGAGTTTCTTTCACCCTATGCCCCTGTTACCTAGCAGTAAAATAGGTACCTGGGTGTTAGTCAGCTGTCACGGGCTGCTTCCTGGGGGTGGAGGCCTGGTCGAGGACCGGGCCGCGGGGACATTAAAAGCCCCGAAATCATCTCAAGATAACTACTAGGTCACATTAGTGACCTAGTTTTGTTTGGCCAACTGTGGGACCCAAGCCAGGACCTGGCCCCCCTCTCAGAGGTAGAGAGAGAGCAGGTCATAGTCTACCACCACACCAGGATAAGCATCCTCAAAAATCAAGGCAGCATTACAGATGACTGCAGAACAGGAGTCACAATAACGTGGCTGAAATATGTTGACCAAACCACACAGTAGAAAGTGAAGGGACGATGACGTTTTGGTCCGTCCTGGACCATTCTCAAGTTGATTGTGAGAATGGTTCACAATAGACTTGAGTCTATTGTGAACGTTCTGAGTCCAGGACGGACTGAAACGTCGTTGTCCCTTCACTTTCTAGTGTGTGGTTCGGTCAACACAGACGACTGGTGTCTTCAAAAGAACGAAGCTGTAGGTGTTACCTTGGTTACCTTGAGGTGCTTTCGGGGCTTAGCGTCTCCGCGGCCCGGTTGTCGACCAGGCCTCCTCGTTGCTGGACTGGTCAACCAGGTTGGGAGCTTCTGGCTGTTCTCTAGAGGCAGTGGTTCTGTTCTTTTGGCCTTGGTGGGGAGTTTGTTTGTCTGCAGTCTTCTCGTTCTTTCCTGGTGAAGGAGGTCGGCTGGTAACTCTGTCTTGTTGAGGGGAACTTGACACAAACCAAAGCTCGTTACTGCCTTCCGGTCTAGCCTCGTAATTAATTGTTACTTGTAGCCTCACCCACACACAATTTGGTTCCCCACAGCACATGTTGAAGTGGTACCCCTTACCCAGTCACAGTCTGACAAGATGGTTGCTGACTGTACAACAACTGTGCTGCACACCAACTTGGCAAATTGTAGGAAATGATGATAAATTTTCTCCCTGAATTGAACTAGGCCACTCCGTGCGCTTACAATATGTCATCGGTGGTTCCTTACTACTGGGTACGGCGCACAACCAAGAATCCATTTATTTCTGGAGCCGACTTAAATACAACCTTCATGTGTGTGTGACCTCTGGAGCAACAGTGACGTCCATCTGCCTAGTGGCTTACACTTGGGTCCCTCTCACATACCACATGACCTCGGGTAACCTCTTGATTGGTTGATTTATGCAGCTTTTAGCCAAGTCATTGGACCATTCTTCATCCAGAATAGATGAAGAATGAAGTGGTTATTATCAAATGTGATTTCATTTTTACCACCAATGTTTACCAATCCATGCCTGGACATTCTGGATGAAGACCATTCTTCATCCAGAATGGATGAAGAATGGTCCCTGAGCCCTCGCCTGCCTCAGCTGCCACCAAATTCTTGCTTTGCTGCAATAATGTCTCGAACTGCCACGTTGGAAAAATGGCCAACTAGGCTAACACCTGAATTTGAATATCTTAACTTGTTTCAAAATGTAGGCCTACTGCCTCCTCTCAAATCTAACTAAATTAAACCCGAGACTACTTTACACAACTGAGTATGACAATGTTGTTGTTTAAGATTCAGTTACTGGGAACAAAAATTGCAAGTAGCACGGGCTATGGTGAGCCCGTAGTGGACTTGCCCCGCTCCTGTGCCAGGTAAGTAGCACGGGCTATGGTGAGCCCGTAGTGGACTTACCTGGCACAGGAGCGGGGCAAGTAGCACGGGCTATGGTGAGCCCGTAGTGGACTTACCTGGCACAGGAGCGGGGCAAGTAGCACGGGCTATGGCGAGCCCGTAGTGGACTTACCTGGCACAGGAGCGGGGCAAGCAGCACGGGCTATGGTGAGCCCGTAGTGGACTTACCTGGCACAGGAGCGGGGCAAGTAGCACGGGCTATGGTGAGCCCGTAGTGGACTTACCTGGCACAGGAGCGGGGCAAGTAGCACGGGCTATGGTGAGCCCGTAGTGGACTTACCCGGCACAGGAGCGGGGTAAGTAGCACGGGCTATGGTGAGCCCGTAGTGGACTTACCTGGCACAGGAGCGGGGCAAGTAGCACGGGCTATGGTGAGCCCGTAGTGGACTTTCATAGTATGACAATGACAGGCAGAAGATGTGGGTTAAGCAGACGCCATTGTAACGTGTGAATTGTTTGCGAATTTGTTTGGCGGTTTTGAGTCTTCGTTTTCTGTGAACCCCTCCAGTTGTCTGCTAAGCTTTGTTGACTTTCTGTAGGTTTTCCTGGTAATTACCTAAGTGTAGTTACCTAAGTGTAGTTACAGGATGAGAGCTACACTCGTGGTGTCCTGTCTTCCCAGCACTCTTTGTCATATAACGCTTTGAAACTACTGACGGTCTACTGGTGGGGGTGGTTGAATTGTCACTCGCTCCGTGTGTTTCTGTGAGGGGGCAGGTTCTGGCTGTGGTCTCAGGTAGGCTAAACAGAACTTCAGTGGCTGGTTTGATCCATAGCATGGATTATTGGGATCGTCTCAAAGCCCTCCAAATGTACTCACTAGAAAGAAGACGAGAGAGATATCAAATAATATACACCTGGAAGATACTAGAGGGCCAAATACCAAATCTACACAGTAAAATAACAACGTACTGGAGTGAACGACATGGAAGAAAATGCAGAATAGAACCAGTGAAGAGCAGAGGTGCCATAGGCACAATCAGAGAACACTGTATAAACATCAGAGGTCCGCGGTTGTTCAACGTCCTCCCAGCAAGCATAAGAAATATTGCCGGAACAACCATGGACATTTTCAAGAGGAAACTAGATTTATTCCTACAAGGAGTGCCGGACCAACCAGGCTGTGGTGGGTATGTGGGCCTGTGGGCCGCTCCAAGCAACAGCCTGGTGGACCAAACTCTCACAAGTCAAGCCTGGCCTCGGGCCGGGCTTGGGGAGTAGAAGAACTCCCAGAACCCCATCAACCAGGTATCAACCAGGTATGAAACAATCTCGGCAAAATAGTTTTAGGGAGCCGCCAGAGCTTTACCAGGAAGAGGGGTTTCATTACATTCAATGCTGGGTTTTTATATCAATGATGTAAATATGGTTTTAATACTCTATATCAGTAATTACTGTACCAACCTTTCCATGAATGGCAGTATTTTCTAATACTCAAAAGGCCCACATGGGAATCGTGACCAACTGATTAAGAACTGGAGCTCTATATGAATGTAATGGAGTTAACAAAACCCTTGACAAAATTCTGCTATCGTTTTACAAACACTTATTATGCAATGTAAAATTGAGCAATTGGGCCTGTGGTTCGATGCAAGCAACAGCCTGTTTGACAAAGACTTCACAAGTCAAGCCTGGCCTCGGGCTGGGCTTGGGGAGTAGAAGAACTCCAAGAACCCCATCAAGCGGGTATATGTGGGCCTGCGGGCCGCTCCAAGCAACAGCCTGGTGGAGCAAGCAGTTATAAGTCAAGCCTGGCCTTAGGCCGGGCTTGGGGAGTAGAAGAACTCCAAGAACCCCATCAAGCGGGTATATGTGGGCCTGCGGGCCGCTCCAAGCAACAGCCTGGTAAAGCAAGAAGTTACAAGTCAAGCCTGGCCTTAGGCCGGGCTTGGGGAGTAGAAGAACTCCAAGAACCCCATCAAGCGGATATATGTGGGCCTGCGGGCCGCTCCAAGCAACAGCCTGGTGGAGCAAGCAGTTACAAGTCAAGCCTGGCCTTAGGCCGGGCTTGGGGAGTAGAAGAACTCCAAGAACCCCATCAAGCGGGTATATGTGGGCCTGCGGGCCGCTCCAAGCAACAGCCTGGTGGAGCAAGCAGTTACAAGTCAAGCCTGGCCTTAGGCCGGGCTTAGGGAGTAGAAGAACTCCAAGAACCCCATCAAGCAGGTATCAAGCAATGAGGTTATGTATTACAGATCTGTGGTTATTATCAAATGTGATAATAACCACATCATATTATTTCATCTTTGCCACCAATGTTTACCAATCCATGCCTGGTCGAGGACCGGGCCGCAGGAACACTAAGCCCCGTAACCACCTCAAGGTAATGCTTGTACGACATTTTTCCCTGGTCGAGACCGGGCCACAAGGACACTAAACCCCGTAAACACCTCAAGGTAATGCCTGTACAACATTCTCGGCCAATCACAGCAAAGGTTACAAGACACTTCATTTGAGCTGTGCCTACAGTCCACCTGTACTGGAGGCACAGCTCAAAGGGAGTGTCTTGCAACCCTCACCTTTACTGTGATTGGCCAAGAATGCCTGTACGACATTCTCGGCCAATCACAGCAAAGGAGAGGGTTGCAAGACACTCACTTTGAGCTGTGCCTCCAGTATAGGTGGACTGTACATATTGTATTGTAAGGCGTATATGCAATACTCATTCACTATTCGTCAATTGTGTTCATAAATGTTTATCAGTTTACACACTGAACATGTTTTTACACATGAAAAGTTTACACAGTTTACACATGAAATATGAACAAATCCACAAGGGCCGTGATGAGGATTCGAACCTACTTCCAAGAGCATCCCAGACGCTGCCTTAATCGACTGAGCTACGACATGGTATAAGAATGGCAACCGGGAAATCATCTTGATTTACGAACGGATCCTGCAGTTTCTTCGAGACACAAACAAG